CTCTTTTGGATTATTTGAAAAATTTTAATGTTCCATTTTATGTCCTTTTAGGGCTCCCCAGGTATTTTGCTCTTGTTTTCCTAGTGGTTGCTCTGGGGTTTATAGTAACATCATTAACTTACCCCATTCTACCTGCTGTAAAGTATACAAAAAAAAAAAAACCTTACAACAGCATATTTCTATTTCTCCCCTTCTGGCCTTCATGCTTTCATCATACACTTTACTTCTACATGTTATAAGCCCCATGATGCATTGTTATAACTATTGTCTTAAATAATCATTAAAGAGATTTAAGAAATGTAAAAAAAATCTTTTCTATTAACCCATTTATTTGGTATTTCCAATGTTCATTTCTTTATGTAGATCCATTTTTCCATCTTGTATCATTATATTTCTGCCTGAAAGACTTGCTTCAACATGTCTTGTGGCACTCATCTGCTAATGATAAATTCTGTCATCTTTTCTATCTCTGAAAAAGGGTATTTCGCTTCATTTTTGAAAGATGTTTTTGTTGGGTACAAAATTCTAGGTTAACAGATTTTGTGTTTTATTTTTTCCCTTTGAGTTATTTAAAGAGATCCCACCATTATTTTTGGCTTACATCACTTCTAATGAAACATCAGCCAGGATCTATATTCATCTCTGTGTAATATTGGCCACCATCACCCTCAACACACACACACTCCCTGTGCCAAGTCTCTATTCAGCTGATTTTAAGATTCTCTTCCTCTCTGGTTTTGAGCAATTTAATTATAATGTTCTTATGTTATCAGGATTCATTGAGCATTTTGGATCTGTGGCTTTATAGTTATATGACTTTCCTGCTTCTTTGCCTTCTTTATATGCCTGGTAATTTTTATTTTGACACCATACATTGTTGATTTTCTATTGTTGTTGTACCACAGTGACTTGGTCAGTTTTAATTTTGAATAAAATAAATATCAACAAATGTAACCCACATGTCCTCATTAACTTGAATGCAGATTCCTGAACCACAATGTTTCAGAAGTGCTGGCCTTAGGAAATGGCAAAGCCATGCTCATCTGGCTCCCAAACCTATGTTGTTTCTATGCCACAACATCACCTCCTTACCCAAAGTCTCATCACTATTAAAATGGAAAACAGAATTGGGTCCCTAAAGCTTTATTTGCATTTTGTATAAAATATTTAAGTTTCTTGACATTTAGATATTTTTCTTTGTTGGAGCATGAGTTTCTTTTCCCTAAAGCTTTAGAACTCCATTAAGAATTCAAGGGGTAGGACCAGCAGATGGCGTAATGATTATGTCACTGATCTCCCAGGTAGTCAACTGTGGTTTGAGTCCCAGACCTGGAGGCTGAAACTCTGGGACATGTGTGTGAGTGCCCAAAATCTCAAGAGGAGAATAGAGAAGGGATTGCAGTGAGGCAATCCCTCCAGGTAGTGATTTTTTGCTTTCTGTCTCTTCAGCGAGTGCATGCACCCTATAGCAAATCTCTCTCAAAAGAAAAAAAGATTTCAAGATGACTCATTTGGAGCTATAAAATAAATTATGGCAGAAACAACAATATATTGCATTTTATTTTGTACATAAAGCCCAAACATTTGAAAGATATTCTTTATTAGATTTCGCAAAACAGAAATAATTAAATTGTTTAGCTCTATGCTTATTTTTCATCCCCTCAGGATTAAGCTCTAAGAATTAAAGTTCTATTTTGGGGAGCCAGCTTTACTGGGGGACATTCTCAAGAGGAAATCTTGCATGCCTCGCCGCAACAGGGCATTCTCAGCAACCTCCTTCAGGCTTCTTTGTAGCTTTTCCATCTCCTTGTATTCATTCTTGACATCTACAGAACAGAAAGTATAAATCAGGAGTTGGTGTCATTTTCAGAATTATCACCAGAAACATCCCCTAATAATCCTGTTCTAATCTGGGTCACTTACCTTAGAATATAAGATCTGGAATGGTGCTTGGGGATCAAATAGTCCAATATTTGTGTTTTATAAATAATCTAAATACAACCAGGTATTCTTCCTCTTACCTAAAGTTATGTCTCAGCAAGGGGATCAACCTCAAATGAAACACAAACCTACTCATTAAAAAACTAGATCTTTACTAAGGCTTCACAGGAGTTCAATGGAAAGAGATACAAAGCACATTACACAATTAAACATCCACTGCATCCTCCTCAGGTGACTCTCTCCTCCTGGATCCTTCTTCCCCAGTCCTCACTGCAAATGAGCTTACCCTCTTTGGCATCTCAGGTTTTCATCCCATGATCTGTATGCAATCTAATTATGTCCTCATAATGGAGACCTTCATATGTCAACTTGTCTAGGTCACAGTGCCTATATAGTTGGTCAAAATTATTCTGGATGTTTCTGTAAGAGTTTTTGGATGCAATTTACATTTAAATCAGTGGAGCTTGAATAAAGCAGGTGGCCTTCTCTAATTGGAGGGCGGGCCCTGCGGGGCTGATCTAATCAGCTGAAGGCACAAAAGGAAGAACAATCTGACTTCACCCAAGCGAGAAGGAATTCTCCAGTAGACTGCCTGGGACCTTTATCTGCAACATCAGCTCTTCCTGGTTCTCCATCAGACCACCTTTAAGCTCTAACTGCAACTCTTTCCAGTTTTCCAGCCTGCTGACCTCCCCTGTCAGATCTGGACTTGCCAAGCCTCCACAATCATTCTCTTTCTACATATATCCACACATTTGATTGGCTCTGTTTTTCTGCAGGACCCTGACCAATACAATCCCCTTGGAAGGGACCTTACAGGCTGACCTTGGAGGTGGCTTGGGCATTGCTCCTGAATTCCTTTACAATCCCTCTTAGCTCCAGATGGGTACTCAGACTAGCCTGCCTGAGCCTGGCTGGTGATAGCACTCATGACTAGAACCCTGAGTCTTTTTGTCTTGCTCCCAAACTGGAAGGCTTCTCTCCTCTTCACTGCGTCTTAAATGTGTCCTGTTCTTCAAGACTACCCACTAGGACCTGCCTTACATAAAGCTTCTTCAGTGTCCCAGTGCTGAATAATCAACCACTCTGCCTTCTGAATTGCAAGATAATCTGGTGCCCAAGTGAGTCCCCTCCTTCAGGTCTTTGCTTAAGTGTCACATACCTGTGAGACCTTCTTTGATGACCCTGTCCCTACCCCCAGCATTCCTTTCTTATTTCTCTGCCTTGTCTTATTTCCCTGCCACATATTTAACTTACTATCAGGTCATCAGGATAGTCATGATGCATTTTTGCATACCACCTTTAAGCTCTAACTGCAACTCTTTCCAGTTTTCCAGCCTGCTGACCTCCCCTGTCAGATCTGGACTTGCCAAGCCTCCACAATCATTCTCTTTCTACATATATCCACACATTTGATTGGCTCTGTTTTTCTGCAGGACCCTGACCAATACAATCCCCTTGGAAGGGACCTTACAGGCTGACCTTGGAGGTGGCTTGGGCATTGCTCCTGAATTCCTTTACAATCCCTCTTAGCTCCAGATGGGTACTCAGACTAGCCTGCCTGAGCCTGGCTGGTGATAGCACTCATGACTAGAACCCTGAGTCTTTTTGTCTTGCTCCCAAACTGGAAGGCTTCTCTCCTCTTCACTGCGTCTTAAATGTGTCCTGTTCTTCAAGACTACCCACTAGGACCTGCCTTACATAAAGCTTCTTCAGTGTCCCAGTGCTGAATAATCAACCACTCTGCCTTCTGAATTGCAAGATAATCTGGTGCCCAAGTGAGTCCCCTCCTTCAGGTCTTTGCTTAAGTGTCACATACCTGTGAGACCTTCTTTGATGACCCTGTCCCTACCCCCAGCATTCCTTTCTTATTTCTCTGCCTTGTCTTATTTCCCTGCCACATATTTAACTTACTATCAGGTCATCAGGATAGTCATGATGCATTTTTGCATAGAAAAACAGAGAAAAAGACATCATGACTTTCCTGACAACCTAACAGTTTGTGTATTGCCTGCCTTCCATCCACTGGGCTGAAAACCCCATGAAGGTGGGGTTTTGTAGATATAGTAGTCCCCCTTTATCCAAGTAGTTGCAGCTACTTGTGGTCAACCGTGGTCCAAAACTAGGTGTACAGTGCAATAAAATATTTTGAGAGACTATGTTCAATTTTCTATTACAATATATTGTGATAATCGCTTTTTTTCATTGTTAATCTCTTTGTCTAATTTATAAATTGAAGTTTATCATAGGAGTGTATAAACAGGAAAAATTACACAGTCATTCCCTGGTATCTGAAGGGGATTGGTCCCAGGAACTCTCACAGATACCAAAATTTTCAGATGCTCAGGTCCCTTATATAAAATGACAGAGGATTTGCATAACTTATGTGTATACCTTAAAACATTTCTATATTATTTACAATACCTAATATAAGTAAATGCTATGAGAGTAGTTGTTATACCATGTTTTAATTTTTTTATTATTGGGCTCCAGCAAACTATATATTTCAGGGAATGAAGATTTTCTACTGATAATTCAGCCTCCAGCAAATGAGCTAGCAGCAGAAGAGGCCAGGCCTTCAGAAGAAGGTTCCACATGGCTCCAGCGAACTAGATATTTCAGGGAACAAAGATTTTCTACTGATAATTCAGCCTCCAGCAAATGAGCTAGCGATGGATCTAAGAGCACTGTAGCTAAACATCCAAATACTAATAGGGTTAAAATATTCCTCAATATCTACTGAATCTGCTGCACCAGCAATCATAACAGAACGGCAAAGAGATTCTAGATCACCTCTGTCTGCTTGCTCCTGAACATTCAGGCTGAACTTCAAGAATCTGAAAGAAACACACCATCCATCAGATGACAAGAAATCACCGCTGGATCACAAGAAATATGGGAAAACAAGAAAATACCTCTCCTCCAAGGGAAAAGAGTAACTCTTCTACATCCACAAGCAGTTCAGTGAAAATCATGGAAATGTCTGATAAGGAATTTAGAGCATTCATAATGTTGAAGCTAATAGAGATGGAAGAGAAGAGAGATAATGAACTGCTAAAGAGAAAGGAGAAAGAAGTTGATGAGTTCCAGGAGATGAGGAAATTCTTGCAAGATCTAAAAGAGGAATTACACACTTTACAAAAGACTCAAACGGAACTGTTAGAGATGAAAGCTATAATACAGGAAGTCAAAATCTCCCTTGAAAGTATTAAAAGCAGACTAGATCATTCAGAAAATAGAACCTCAGATGTAGAAGAGAAAATGACTGACCTGGAAAAATCCACCACAAAGACTGAGAAAATGTCCCAAAACTTTGAGAATAATATGAGAGAAGTACTGGATACCATCAAAGTCCAAATATCCGGATAACTGGCATTCCAGAAAGTGAAGAGACCCATAAGGGCATTGATAATCTATTCCATGAAATCCTGCAAGAAAGTTTTCCAAACCTAGAGAGGCATTCGAAGATCCAGTCCCAAGAAATACAAAGGACCCCAAATAGAATCAACCCAAGAAGATCTTCTCCAAGACACATTATAGCCAGGTTGACCAAAAC